GTACCAAAATTGGACTTTGGACAAGTTAACGTACCAAAAATGAAATTTTGCCTGTAGTTATATATTGTAAGTTAAAAAAAAATTAGTATAATATAACACAAGTAAGTTGCACAAATAAAAAGTGTCATAATAAATATATAAGAATATATATATTCTTATAAAAAGTATTTAAATTTTCAAACAACTTTTTCTCATTAATTTTAGATTTTATGAAAAAAATTAGCAAGCACCCGTGTAATACACGGGTGTTGTACTAGTGTACATAGAAAAGGGATTTATTAGGAATTGTACTTTAGCTTGCCAATTATCTAGTTAGGAATTTTACACAAACACGTCATCTGTTAATCGTGCTTTAGCTTGCCAATTATGTTACAACATATTGTTTCATGCCAGTTTTATTAGGAATTTGTAAATGGTGATTTGTTAGAAAATTTATCTAAATATTTAACAAAAGGGATTTAATCAACGTCTCTAGTATATATCCGAAAAAATCTTTTTGTTATTAATTTATAAGAGGATACACGATTTGTTTATAAATTTCTGTAAATTAAATTATAATTATGTAATATTATTTTAAAATATGAAATTATATCTAAAAAGATTTAGAGGTAACTCTGACGATTCCTACTTTCAAAATATAATTTGTTACTTTTACATTATTTCAGTTAAAGTACTTATATAAAGAGTTTTTTTTTTTAGATATTTATGTATATAATTTAAAACGCAAATATTATTGTTTACATATGACATGATTTTATCGAATAAAAAAGTTGATAAAATAAATTCAATATGTTCATTTCAATTGGTATTGACCATATGAGCGCATCCGAAAATTGTTATTGCAAATTATTAAAAATTGTCGGCAATGAAAATAAATCATGTAGAACAAATAAAACAAACAAAAAATAAAAGAACCGTATGTAACTACAAAATCGAAGAATAAATGAACTAATAAAAACTTTATTAATGATAAAATATAATAAACATCCAATTCGCAATAAAAAAGACACGGTATAAAATTCTTACCAAATCATCAAATTATATATAATAAAAACCTAAGAAATCCAGGTGGTAACCAAATCTCGATCCTTGCTAGTATTGAGAAAAATTCCCATTGTATTTGATCAAATCTATCATTCTATGAAGGACAATCTTCCAATGATGGGTTATTATATCCTCCCTCCCA